GACCACTGCCTTTCTGGCGTTAGAATGGAAATAAAAACACGCATACGACTAGCAAATTTGATAAAAGCATAAACTGTTTGTGTGAACTTCATCCTGCAAATTAAAATCTATTTTAGCATTTGTGACCATGACCCATTGATCCCTTCCTCAATATAAAGGAAGAATACCATGCAAGTTATCTACCTTCCAAATATGAAATACATTTGTCAATAAATAACGGCTGTAAAAAGTGTAGAAATCTATTTTAGAACTGGTGACCTTGACCCAACTGAACCATAACTCCATCCAAAGGAGAAGACCTCAATTCCATGTTCCTACCAAATATAAAAGACATATTTCAAGAATAATGTTAAAACACCTGTAAAAATGTTAAAATCTAGTTTTGGCATTGGTGACAGGACCCCCAACTAAACCCAAAGGAAGAGGACCTCCCTTGGCATGTTTGTATTAAACATGAAATACATAATCTTAACAATAAAGGCTTAATGAGCAAAACCGTTATAAAAAATTCACACCAGTGACCTTGACACTTGAGACCCCTTACTCCATTAAAAATTCACGGCCATTAATGGTGACCTTGACCCAACTGAACCATAACTCCATCCAAAGGAGAAGACCTCAATTCCATGTTCCTACCAAATATAAAAGACGTATTTCAAGAATAATGTTAAAACACCTGTAAAGATGTTAAAATCTATTTTTGGCATTGGTGACTTTGGCCTTTACCCACAGGACCCCCAACTAAACCCAAAGGAAGAGGACCTCCCTTGGCATGTTTGTATTAAACATGAAATACATAATCTTAACAATAAAGGCTTAATGAGCAAAACTGTTATAAAAAATTCACACCAGTGACCTTGACACTAGAGACCCCTTACTCCATTAAAAATACACGGCCATTAATGGTATCCACCTACCAGATATGGAAGATATCATTAAATAAATTTTTTAAGATAAATCCAACTTACCGAATAGAGTTAACCATACAAGGTCCTATTTTCAAAGTGAAAAAAAGGAATGTAACTTGGGAAAATGGATGGCAATATCATGAACTTTTTCTAAATAAGTAAGTGTGGAAATTATGAAGCCATAAGTATAAACAGTACTTAAATAAATCCAACTTGCCGGTTTAGGTTAACGATATTCATTCTCAAACTGCTGAAAATGGCAATAACTTGATTAAAATTTAGGCAATAATTATGTTACTTGCCATGCATGATCAAGTTTTTTGTATTGATTAATAAATGTGTAAATTATGAAGCCCTTTGTACTAGTAGATTTTAGGAAAAATCCAACTTGCCGTTTTATTATTTTGATCGTTCCTTTTTTTATAACATGACACCAATTTTAGGCTGCAAGGCTCCTAGACTGCCAGCTTTAGGCTATCAGAACTACAAAAGTTAAGTGCCCTAAAGGTAAAGGCGTTTTTTTCCTTAATCATGCATGTGTATGTGCTTTTGCATGACTTTCATAGTGATTTTACTGTATTTTAAATTGTTTCCATATTTATAATATAAGTCACTAACTTTAAGCTACTAGGGCTGCCGACTCTAAGCTGTTAGATTGCCAACTTTCAGGTTGCAAAGCTGAAATCGATAGGCTGTTAGGATGTTAGGCGGCCCTCAGGAGACTAGGCTACCAACGTTAGGCTTACAGGGCGTTAGGCAAACTCTTAAGGTCCAGGTCGTCAGCAATTTAGGCTTCCTCTTCCGACAGCGAGACAATTTGCCTCCTCAGTCAACTAGGCCATCAGACTGCCACCTCAGGCAGCCTGTCTCTTCTGCCATTTTACAGACACAATTGTACTAAACTATTTACAGAACAATGCCAATTTTGCAGTTTCATACAAATAGTAGACAATTGTATAATTATCAATATGTACTTGCATAAGATCAGCTAAAAATTAAACGCAAAACAATTTATTTACAAGATGAGTATTATCGCCGCCTAAATTTTAGCGCAGTTCCATATATAATAAATTCACTCGCTTTCAAATTGAGTAGGCAGATTTAATTAATATGATACAACAATAAAACTTGAGTTCAACATAAAATTACATCTTGCGACATTTAACGGTAGTGTTGCGACATTTAACGGTAAGGGAAATTCGTGCGACATTTAATGTTAACATTGTGACATTTAACGTCAAATGGTTTTGCGACATTTAGCGGCGGTTGCGACATTTAGCGTCAATGGTGCGACATTTAGCGGCAAGTGCGACATTTAGCGGCGTTGCGACATATAACGGCGCCACACACTGCTCCCGGGCAAGTCGAAACATAAAACTATATTTTTTATAAATGTAACTTCACTGAATTCTTCATTGGTATATATTGTAATTTTGAAATTTTCACGGCCAAAAATTAGCAACATGTATCTAAATCATGCACTTCTTCTCACATCGTTCTCGGGAAGGGAAGACGTTTTCACCTAACCGGAAGTACGGCCCTGTACAATCTTTAAACCGGAAACATGCTTGATTTTCCGCATTGTAAGTCCAGAGATCAAATACTTCGAAACAGAACGGCTGTTCTTCAACAGGCTTTAGGCATTCTGAAATGTAAAGAAGAACTTGGAAAACGATTCGGTTAATCAGGTTAGATATATTCATACACATTTTAATGAGGACATCAGTCATAGTTTATTGACTAGAGAGTTGTTGTTTTAGATAGATAAAGTAAATTACCAAGGACATAACAAAAAATATTTATTCCAATAATTTTCTAATCCATTGAAAATAAAAAATCAACAAAGACATCGTGGAAAATAAAATTTTCAGTCAACAAACCAGTTTTAATAAAATAACTTTTCAAATAAAACTGACGTTTATGACACTGAAGGAACTTTATTATGAATTTGTAAAGGGTAATCTTTCCAATGCTACAAAAACGATAAGCTTATCGTCATTTTGTGAGCTACAAAACAAAAAAGAGCAATGTACAAATATTAAGTTCTTAGATATTAAACAACATGTCCAGAAAACAAATAACATTAGTACGATATTTCATGCGGCAATTATAAAAATATTAATTCTGGCGTCTGCATAGACGTATACAGTCTGTATAATGTACATGAATAATGATAATATTTTGTTGTAGAGGATTTTGAATGAGTGTAGGTTTAATATTTAATTTATTGAACGAGTTGAATAAAATCATATTATGCGAGCCTCTGGAGATATCTTCTATTTAATATTTGCTATATAAAATTATGCAGTATCGGATCATGTAGATTACAATTACCAGCAACATCCATATATAATTCTTTCCTGTTTTGTTGTCCTGTCTGATACTTTATACTATCAATATAAGTATTCATTGTATTACAGACCTTCCGTTATACACCAATTCACTTTTAAGATTATCAAAAACCAAGCATGTGTCTTTCCAAGAAAATGAAATATTAATTGATATTTAATTTGAGATATTATTTATTTTGATAAGAAAAAGTTAAAAACAAACCTGGGTCCATAGACGAACTTATAGGCACACATTTCACTATCAGAATCACTGCTATCGCAAAGCTCAACATTTTAGTTCAACATCCGATTTTATTCTGACCTAATATTACAATATGGTCACAGGTTGATAACAACAACAACAACAACAACAACAACATATTATACCGTAGGTTATGAGGTAATCGCTATTGCCTTGAAGATACGGTGAAACAGTTGACATTGTCATGGAAACATATTTTATTATATACATGTACTTTGTTATTCATATATAAGTTTTGAATGATATAGACTTGACAATAATTAAATTACCAACAGGAATGTATGAATGGCAAGTCAAGGACCCCTCGACTATTTATAATTCTTTTGCGAAGATTGTCGGAAAGAGCCGAAATATTGCGATTTGCGACACGCCTCAAGATGGGCAAAAAAACTCTGGAAGTATATATTAATGCTTAAACACAAGTATAAGGTGTGACAACATAATTATTATTATAGGTATAAGTATTCAAAATAAAGAAAAAAAATGAATACTTCATGGAATATATGTTAATCACCATAAAAAACCTATGCGTAAGAGCCCTTTTTGACACACTATAGGGAAATATAACTTAAGGAAGTATATTAGTTATTTAGGCTAGGTTGAATCATTTTTTGAATGCACATGTTTACTTATTTGAATAATTTCACCAAAATAATTATAAATATTGCCATGCATAGTCATGTTTTGGCTGTTTATAACTTAGATGATTAACTTAAACATGAAACCTGTGACAAAAAAAAATGTTGTACATATTTATATTGAATTTTGAACTTACGAAGGTCCATTACTGTCACACAGAAGAGTAAAGAAAACGAAAACTATATAACGAATTGTCGTTTTAAATTCATATTCATCTAGCAGTAGAAATATGTTTCATCTTTTGCTATACGAAAAAATTTGGTAGAGCTTTTCGATAGCATTTTTGTGAGCTCTTAAACTAAGTGAACCCTATGCTAGCTGGGCGCATTCTTTGCAAAACAGCCTACTAACAGTAGTTATTATATTAAGACCTAATTTCCTCTAAATTTCAGAAAAATACAAACAACTGAAATGTAATGAAGACGGCACTTAAGCGCGCATCATTTTTTAAATTATAGCATGCCAAGGATAAAATATTTTTGCTTAGAGATTTAAAGATATGATATCATCTTTTAAATAGGTCATATTATAACTTTAAAAATAGATTAACGTCAACACAATATAATTGTTTAACGGACATGTAAACATTTGTATACAATTTAGATTTGAATTTTCTAGTTTCTTTTCATTAGTTATGTATGTCTTTTTCTGACATGATACTTTTCGACATTGCATCGCACCTTATGAGTAATGAATAACTTAAAGTGAAATTAATTGCAATTGCGTGTAAGTTACTGAGTTTTGTAAAGAGTATAACACATGATTACATTTGTATATAAAAAAACAAAGCGTCCGTGATCATACATGAAATAGCATTAAAACAATACATTATGTATTCATTGGTTTACCTAATGTTTTTTAACAACTGCTTTTTACATGTGTGGCACTTATCATTGATTCATAAATGAATTTTTAGTTTTGCGAGATATACATGAGAACGTTTAACTAAAAGGAAGTTTAAATTTTATACATGTATAAATGGAAACCTTAATGAACTGTACGTGTAACGTTGATGGATGTTCATCCAGGGATTGGCTTAATGCAGCACCGTGTCCACCCCCTTTCTTTTACGACAATATCGTAGAATATGCAATAAACATCGGTTTTTGCAAACAGGAAGTTTGCGAATTAGCCAAGAGGTGTTTGAAAAGATTTCCAACGAATGCATCATCAAGTGTTATACAGAGAGCTTGTTCACCTTTGTCATCATCAACGACGTCACCTTTGCCATCATCAACGACGTCACCTTTGCCATCATCAACGACATCTATTTCAACATCTGTAAGCTCTTCGACGCAGCTAGTTGCTACTACGTCATCTTCCGCAGATAGCCCCCATTTTCTGGTGGTGCTGTTGATCGTTGTCGTTGTTGTTGTACCACTGATTGTCGCCTGGTGAGTAGCATTTACATGTGCGGCCATGCTTTTAAATTTTAGATATCAAGTCATTATTATTATCATTATTAATTAGGCTTAATTTTTCAAAACAATTTAAAGAAACAGAGATGGTTTGTGGCCACAACCATGTTTTTGCCGGAATTATTGAAAAACAGACTACACAATGTGATGTGATTATTTATAGTGTAATTTCCCCATGCACGGATCCAGGTGAATGGGAGAGGGCAGGGGTAGAGTTCAGTTCCCTCCCTTCCCCAATCCCTTGGATTTTCCTATTATACATAAAATGTTATATATCATCAAGGTCTGGTTATAAACTTACGGTCCCCCCATTATGCATGAAATATAATATCATATCAAGTTTTGTTGTTGTTGTGTTTTGTTTTTGTAAATATTATGTAAGAAATTAACTGATGACTCCCTCTACTCCCCACCTCTTGAAATCACTAGTAAAATTACAACCCCCCTCTGGAAAACCACCCCTTCTAACCAGTGGCTCTTTCACATTTGTTGATCTGTTTACATGAAAGCCCTCGACACCTCCGTTGTAGAGCCCTCGACCAAAAAATATTAAAATGGTAAACAAAGTTTCTGAAAATTATTCGTTTCTGAAAATTTACATGTTTTTTTTTTATTTTGAAATTTGGTAAAATTTATAGCAACGACAATTTAGGATATTTTCTATCGAAACTGCATCCAAAATGATGAGAAAAATGTTCTACGTGGCATAGCATTCTTCGATTTTTGAAAACCAGCATTTTTTTTTAAAACAAATAGTTTTAGAAACTGTGTTACCTTTTCCAGCTTTTTATTAGTAGAGGGTCTTACAAATGAAGTGCCGAGGGCTCTCATTTAAACAGATCACCATAAAATGAAAATGCCACTGTTTTGTAGTGGTGAATATGGATAAATCCATGTCAAACTTTTGTGATGTGACCTTTTTTTGGTGAAAGCCCTTTAACCGCGCCAGTTTCCTATAGCTAATCCCTTTTGATATAATAAATATCGTGGTGGTTTCCGTATTTTTCTATTTTACTTCAGTGTATTTGTCAGAAGGAGGCGCAAAATGATCCGTAAAAACCAAGAGGTAATCAAGGCTTTTTCATGTTTAGATACGACACACTTAAATATACATTAACCTTCTTGTATCAATTTTTTTATTCAACAAATCTACACGTTAAATATACGGACAATAAAATCCGAAATACATTTATATCAGTGTACATGTATTTAAATGTTAACGACAACCATATGATGCAATTGAAGTTTTTGTCAAAAATCACTCATTACTCAAAAGAGTAAAAATGAAGAAGAATAAGATTTTTTAATAAACTTTATAACATTGATTGAATATATTATACATACATGTACATGAATTGATAATACAAAATATGCCATAATTTGCTAAACGAACGAAAGACGCTATCGACATAGACTTTGATAGCAAATGACAATTGAAAGCTAATTGCTGGTTAGGCGTTAAAACAGGAACGAAAAAACATGTTTCCTTGATTATCTGCTGTTTAACATGCGTGAATGTAAAAGGTGTGGAAGAAGGAACAGTTAATACATCCTGTGAAATTTTATTGAATACTGAGGAATAGAACCGACGAAAAAATCGGGATAGATAGACTGTCATTCCCAAAGTTTGGGTTCATGTGCTTTTTTCATCCATTATAATGTAGAACCTACCACTTGAACCGACGATTTATGCGATTTTCTTTTTTTTGTCTGGCCATCTATTTTTAGAATCGGACATAAATAGTTCATCCATTTTAAGAATCGGACAGATTTTAAGGGTATCCTTGTAAAAGATGGTAGTTTCCCTTGGCAAATTCACTGTACAAATATAGATTCAATATTTTAAAAACCATTTTTAAAAAAATAGGAAAGCGTGCGTTAACTTTTTGTTGTTTGTTGGGCCGTCAATGAAACCCAAATGGGACAATCAAAAACGTCGGTTTTTGTTAAAGGAGCATTTGTATCCCCCGTAGTATTTTGGCATTTTTTGTAGAAATTTCCCATAAATAAACAAAATTTTTAAAAAAAATGCTGTCTTTGCCCGGGAAGGTTTCCTTTAATTTTTTTTTTTTTTGTTCAATTTTAAAATTAAAGTAAATTAAAGGAAAATTTAATTTTCAAATGATATATTTGGGAAATGAACCCAAAGGGAAAAAAACTTTTAATTTTTATTTTAAAGTAAGGGAAAAATCCTCTTGGGAAAGAATAAAAATTGTTTTTAAATAGTTTTCATGAGAGTCCCAATAAACAAAAACTAAAATTTAAAAATGTCTACCACAACTGTGGCCAATAAATATTATACTACAATGGAAAAGAAACCGCCCCTTTGAAACAAACTTTTTAAATTACCCAGTCTTGTCCACTAAGGTTTACTTTATATTTTGTTTAGGAAATGTAGAAATGTCGCAAGCATTTAACAATACAAGTGAAGGCAGTAAACGCACAAATTCCCACCTACGATGGTTGATGGATGGTGAAACAATAGAATTAAGTTGTGGTAGTGAACATGCTCCCTTAAATATGATAGTGAATAGTAAAAGGAATAAAATGCGATGACGTTAGTGTAAGGATTGGTGGTGGTGATTTGGTTGTGGAAAAATTATAAATGACGGTCATGTAATAAAGAAAATATTTTGGTGACGAAGGTAATGGCTTTGAATGTAGAAAACAATAATGGTTTTGAAGGATAAATTATTTATGGTAATGGTGAAGAGTGGTTTGTGGATCGGTGTAGTGTAATGTTTAAATAGAAATAGTTTCGGCTGATGAAGAAATAATTGGGGTTACTTTGAAGAATAGAGAGATAGAAACCCAAAATTTGAAAAGTAAACTGTTTGTTTGTTGTTTAACCCATGGTGGCAATTAAAATTACTAAAATTTAAAATAATATTTTGGGATGGAATTCCTTAAACTGTAAATGATAATTAAAAATAAAATAAAGGGATAGATGCATATATGTTATTTATATTGAAAAGGTGGGTAAATTGGAAATTTAATTCAAGAATGGCAAAAACAGTAAATTTCGTCTCTTTCCAAAATTTTAAGGTCATTGTTTAATTAAAAATATTTTTGGGAATTTAAAAAAAAATCTCCGATTCATTTTTTTAAAACTATATTATTATAAAATGCCTTTTAAAAAAATACGAACTTTGCTCTCCATGATCTTGAGGATGGGAACTGGTACAAAGGGAGTATAAAAAAATGTTTTAAAAACAATAGAAATTGTAAAATATGTTTTCAAAATTTAAAATTTAAAAAAGAATATCATTTTTTTTTAATTTTCCAATATACAGAAATGAGATCAAAATAAACGAGGCCATTGAAAATTTTTTTGGTCAACTTTAAAAAATAAAAAATTAAAAAAATTTTAAAGTCTTAAAAAAAATGGAAAAAAAATATTAAGTCTTTCAAAAAATTTATATCGAATATTTATCTTTAAAAGTAAGATACTATTGCATTTTAATTTTTTTTTTTGTTTTTTTGGGTTTTTCTCACATCGAACAGAAGGGGAATCGCAAAGTTTCCCCCCTTTCCCGGGGGAGGAAGACCTCAGGTGCCCTTCCGTGAATTAAATTTTAGGGACGAAAGGGGACCCAGTAGAACCCCCCGACGTTCCACTTATAATTCATCTCTCTTCACTAATATTATTAATTGTTAAATATATTTAATGTTTGTATTTAATAATTATTGTCTTTTTGCCATAATGATATAATTTTAAATAGCCAAATGCCCAAATGTTTTGCGATGCCAATAAACTTTGAAGTTGAATTTAATAATTACCGGGGAAACCCCCTTTGAAATAAAAAAAATTTTGACAAAAAAAACAACTTTGAAAAATCATTTTGCTTCAGAAAACAAAACAAAACTTACTTAAACCACAAACATTGGTAATTTTTAAATTTTAAAGTCACATTGTTGGCTAATAAATATGT